ATTTTTTTTATGAATAATAAAATAATTACTATTGAAGGATTTTGTTTTTAGGTGCCCGATTATGCTTTAATCGCTGAGAACACGCTGTACTCGTACGGTTTCTACGAGGCACGACCACTCTCGGTAAAAATCGTGACGGCTTACAGATTATGCTCAGAGCAACTGTCCAGTCAAAATCATTACGATTACGGAATGAGAGCCGTGAAATCCGTGCTGCTCGCTGCTGGCAATCTGAAGATAAAGTATCCAGACGTGAACGAGGATATTCTAGTGTTAAGAAGCATCAAAGACGTCAACCTGCCTAAGTTCCTCAATCACGATCTGCCATTATTCAATGTACACAAATTATAATTATTTTATAGATTTTTGGCTTCAGTCTTCCAAATTTCCTTTATATTCTGCATACTCATTCATACATTCTAAATATTCTTTTATATTTCCCTATGATTCTTTTTTATACTTAATCCAGGGTATCACTTCGGATCTGTTTCCTGGGGTGAAATTACCAGAACCGGATTACAGCGACTTGAACACGTGTACGTTCGACGCTTGCACAGAAGCGAACATACAATGCACCCCTGTTTTCTTAGAAAAGGTACAACAGATCTACGAGATGATGATAGTCCGGCACGGATTCATGATCGTCGGCCTTCCATTTGCTGGAAAAACGACGGCTTATAAAATCGTAGCTGACATGCTGGGACTCTGCGAGGACAGAGTAAGTCGGTTCCCACGAGTTCCAATACAATTTTACTCTTGATTCTCCATTTTAGAATTTAATGAACGAGCACAGAGTGGAGATATTTGTGATTAGTCCGAAAGCCGTGACTTTGGGTCAATTGTATGGCCAGTTCGACCCAATATCCCACGAGTGGTCCGACGGGATTCTGGCCATCAGCTACCGTGCCTTCGCAACGTCGACCAATGATAATCGCAAGTGGTTGATCTTCGACGGACCTGTAGACGCGGTATGGATTGAGAGCATGAATACAGTGTTGGACGATAATAAGAAACTTTGCTTAATGAGCGGAGAGATCATCCAATTGGCTCCGACTACCAATCTGTTGTTTGAAACTATGGATCTGGAACAAGCGTCGCCAGCGACTGTCTCTCGTTGTGGTAAACGTTATGCAAATAATGGAATTCATTCAAGGGGGTTCGTGTCCTAATTGCGTTTTTAAAAGCTTGCCTAGCATGATCAAAACCTGATCGTTAATTCGTCAGTCCACAGTCTCCATTCCCTTTTGCCCTAATTACAAACAAATTCCATAATTACATTAAAAAATATGTCTTCATTATTATTTTGATTTTGTACCAAAATCTATAGGACTTTCTTACTTTTGTTTATTAGGGATGATCTACATGGAACCGACTGCTCTTGGGTG